ATTATTATTATTATTATTATTATTATTATTAGAGCTGTCAAACAATTAATCGCATCCAAAATAAAAATTTTTTTACATAATATATGTGTGTATACTGTGTATATGTGTTATGTATATATAAATACAAACACATACATGTATATATTTAAGAAAAATATGTTGTTTATATATTAAATATATTTATATATCATATAAATATATAAATGTATATACATGTAAATATTTTGAAAATATATACTGTATGTATGTGTATTTATGTATTTATAATAAATATACACAGTACACATACATATTATGTAAACAAAAACATTTATTTTGGATGCGATTAATTGTTTGACAGCACTATAATATTATTATTATTATTATTATTTACTTTTTAATGAAGGATTTTTATGATGAGCCCTTTTTATTCCTACAGGAACATCTTAGGGATTTGCATTTGTTAAGAAGCATTTATGTGTCGCTATTAATGCTTGAGAGATAGATTAGGATTAGTAATACATGTAGCACACTTATGCAGCCCTGACTGAGTTCTCACGGGGTTGGTAACTACGGCCTGGGCTATGCACCTGTAATGACACATGCTGCCTTGTGTGAGTGTGCTTTACTAGCCTGAAAGACTCATACAGGTGGTCTGAAGATGAAGAGGTCAGATGTCATTGACACAAAGTAAAGGACATTGTCACAATCCATTGTTTAGCTGACAGATCAGGCTGTTTTTGGACTTCAGGTGTGGTCTGTTTCAGTTAGCCCTGCTGGGCTTGTTTGCGTTTGCGATTTATGACCAATTGCTGCTAAATGTAGTGATTAGATGCTCTTGAATTTAGACATAATTTCAGGGAATATTTAACTCATCATGCCCTTTGAGAGTTACTCACTTTTCTCTGTGGAACACAAAAAACAAGCAAGGTATTAAAGTGTGTTCCTAACACAAATCTATTATGTGGTTCAGAAGAGTTGGAATATAGTGCAAGCAGTGTTGGGTGTAACTCATTACAAGTAACGCAAGTTACGTAATCAGATTACTTTTTTCAAGTAACTAGTAAAGTAATGCATTACTTTTTAATTTACAAGAGAATATCCAAGTTACTTTTTCAAATAAGTAACGCAAGTTACTTTTTTTTTTTCCAATTTATTGATTGACAGCTCTCCTGTCCCCATGTTGAGAGAAATCAGATGTTACTGTAGTTCTAAAATAAATATGAATATGCATTAATTCATCTCACTCACAAAAAAAAACAGATTCAGTATTCCTCAAAATGAATAAAAATAATGCAACTCAGAATATGCAATAATTAAATGTTAAACAACACAAATATCCTTTATGTATTTAATCCCATTCTATTAACCAATGTCTTTGCTTCTGACCTTCGATGATCCAGTTCAACCATACTAATAAGCACAAATTTCTCTAGACAAACATTCGTGTGTCTTTTTTTATTGAAGTGTGTTGAAATTTCTTCTTCTGCATTCTACTGTACGGACGTAAATTTGCTTTCCCTTCAGCCTGAGGCTTATTCATTTGCAAAAGTAACGTAATGCATTACTTTATATAAAAAGTAACTAAGTAACGTAATTAGTTACTTTTTTATGGAGTAACTCAATATCGTAATGCATTACTTTTAAAAGTAACTTTCCCCAACGCTGAGTGCAAGTGTCTTATGGACTGCTTTTATATTGCTTTTTTGTTCTTTTTGGAGTTTGATGGCTATTGAACATTCTTCTAAACATCTCTTTTGATGAAAAAAATTCATACAAGTTTAAAATGACATGAGGTAAAAGATAACACAATCTTCATGTTTATGTGAACTGTTACTTGTGGCCCAATGAGCCTGACACAAAACTTTACACAGAACACAGAAGTTTTATCTACCGTTGACATCATGCAAATTTATCTTCTTGTCAAATGCCATTTTCTAGAAAGTTGGCTCTGATATCAGGAGACATTTTCATTGTTAGTCTGTTCAGCATGCCTTAACGTGTCTTCAGAAACTGGATGAATCTTAGAGATGCAGAGACAGGGAAGGTTCTCTGGCAGGGAACTGAAGACCTCTCTCTTCCTGGGGTAGAACATGAAGGTTTGTGGTTCTCAGCATTACCTTGCATTAAAGATTTAAACTATTGACTCGATTGAGCTATGCCAATTCTTCTCTTATGTCCACTACTTACTCTTTTTAGTGATGTCAGTGAGAGGTCAAGATCAGTTTTCAGTTCTGAATTTGGTACAGAATGGGCCATGTCTGGTAACTAACGTGATTTTGTTTTCCAGCTCGGGTTCCTAAGAAGATCCTGAAATGTAAAGCTGTCTCCAGAGAGCTGAATTTCTCTTCAGTAGAAAAACTGGAAAAATTCCGACTGGAACAAAAAGTTTTCTTTAAAGGCCAGTGCCTAGAAGGTTGTTCTAATTCTTTCTTGCACATTGCACTTTAGTGATAAGGAATATCAGTGATGATAGTAGCGTAAAATTAGAGCTCTCTTTTGTAAAGTGGCTGGTTCTGAAATATCATTAAAATGTGACCCTGGACCACAAAACCAGTCATAAGGGTCAATTTTTCAAAACCGAGTTTTAAAATAAATAAGTCTTATTTTAAGTCTTAATAAATAAGCTTTCCATTGATGTACGGTTTATTAGGATAGGACAATATTTGGCCGAGATACAACTATTTGAAAATCTGAAATCTGAGGGTGCAAAAAAATCTAAATACTGAGAAAATCACCAAATTGTCCAAATTAAGTTCTTAGCAATGCATATCAATAATCAAACATTAAGTTTTGATATATTTACGGTAGGAAATTTACAAAATATTTTCATGGAACATGATCTTTACTAAATATAATGATTTTTGGCATAAAAGAATAATTGATAATTTTGACCCATACAGTGTTTTTTTGGCTATTGCTAAAAATATACCCCAGCGACTTAAGACTGGTTTTGTGGTCCAGGGTCACAAATTATCTAACACAGAGATGTCTTCTCAAGTAAGGAGCTCCATGACTTTAATCATTGTCCATTGATAAAAAAGGACATACTCCATTTTAACAGTGTCACCACTGAAATCAAAGAATGTTAAAAAAAAAAGATTGTCACAAGACTGTAGTGTTAAAAAATGATTAATACACCACCTTTATTTCCTTTAGTACATTTGGACGAAAACATACTGAATACTAACCATACGTTCTCATCTTTGCTACAGAGGTTTTAAACATACACAAACATAAACATTCTAACTAAACACTACTAAAATTGGTCATATATAAACTGGGCTAAACATGTGATCATGATATTGCATTAATGTGACCTTCATATCATAGTCATTGTTTAGTTAGATTTAGATTTAATGCAGTCCAAATCACGGGTGCATGTAACTTGTGAAACATTTAAACATGTACTTGTACTATTCTTAATATTCTCGAATAACCTGAACAGTATAATTTAAATGCAATGTTCTAAGATTGCTTTCAATAAACCATTTATTACACATTCACCACTAATTCACAACAGTTGGCCATTTACATTTTGATATATGCTTGCCTTCATGGTTTTGTGGAATTAGACTGATATTATATAAAATATAAATCTCCAGACTTGTCTGGTTACTTTATCTGTGTAATGTGAAAACCTTTTGCAATTTGACTTGAATTGAAACTTTTTGAAAGCCTGACTGTGAAAACAAAGTACTTACACATGTACCTTGTCTTTTTTTTTTTCAGAGTGGTTTTTTGAGTTTGGCTTTGTGATTCCTAATTCTACAAACACATGGCAGTCTTTGATAGAAGCTGTTAATCACACATTAAATTTCGTCTCTTGCAGTGGTAATGTTGTTATAGAGACCAAGTTTTATGATGACAATCTTCATGTCAGCACATCCCGGGTACGACTCTTCTACGTCTGAGACATGGAGCCTTTAAATTATTATTATTTTTTTTTACTGTCACCCCAGAGCATGGACCCATCACTACAAGTCTGAATAGCCAGAGGAGACACTCTACATACTGAGTATTTCTTCTGAGGCGCTGTGACAACAGCATTAAAGGGAACATTTCAGTAAAACCCAGTTTCAAGACAAATGGTCACACCAGTTTTATGGCAGATAAGGACTTGTACATAAGAGCTATCATGCTCATGACAACCTGGTTGTGTAAATTACCTGTTTGTATAGTTTTCTTCTTCTCCTTCTTAAATTCAATCCTGCGATGTACACTGCTTCCTTATCAGCTGTTTTTAAAAGGTTTGCTCCCAGTCTGTGTGGTTATTCATGGTCTCATTGTTTTTTTCTTTGTTTTTTTTTAGTTAAACTGTAAGATAGGCTGTGTTTTAAAATAAATGATATAATTATGGATTAAAATATTCATATTAATACTTTCTCTCTGGCATTTCTCCCATAAGTCTTTCTCGGCAGAATGAGTGATCTTATAATGAATGTTTTTGTGGCCAATTTTAATGTCACACATTGCATGTCCGTGAACATGACATAAAATAAGTAGAAAATAAGAACAAATCAAAAACAGTTCAGATGTTTTAAAACAGTTTGTGCATTTTGATTTTTACATTAATCACCTAGAATTAACTAGAGCACAAATCTTTATCCATTTAAAATATCTTAATGGCTGTCATTTGGGCCTAGTTACATCAAATTTGTTTTAAATGAAATATATAGTCGTGGATATGACCTAGCATATAATTGCTTTATAAAGATTAGCAGTTCTCTATGTAGTAATGTCCAAAACGTGTATATAACCAAGAGTACTACATTACCCATAATTCCATCCGGTTTGAGCGGAAGTTGTTCGTGACAACCTTGGGTAGCTCTTGCAAGTATGGCGAATAAAGAGCCTAACGTGAGTATACTATCTTATTTCTTAAGAAATTTTATTTATAACATGATAATTTTATAAATGCTCAGTGATGAAAGGGGCAGCTTTTTATACACTGTCACATTCAGCTTGGCAACAGAAATCGTAAGAGAAAGAGAGTGTTACATTCAGTAACCCTGATCTGCTCATACACTAAACCACATTTTAAGATTAAACGTGCCGTCAAAGCCCTTCACAGAGATCTAAACTAAAATTAGACTTATTAATAGGGATTTAAATATTAATAGTTTCTGACTTTGAATACCTGTACTGAAGTCCTGACTCCTGATACCGGCTGCTCTAAAAGCCTCTTCGGCCTTTGACGTTTAATATCACCTGTAACAACTAGGTAGTTATTACACACTAGATGCATACTAGGTAGTTGGTGTAGACTCACAATTTTAATATTTTCATGCAAGGTTTCCTCATTTGTTTATCACAGTTCCTGTGCTTCCATGAGCTGAATCAGAATGTCAGCTAATAAAGTAATTTCCCAGACAATGGTTATTAATATTAACACTTTAATAAAGCAACGTTAAATAGAAAACTGGAAAATTCTAGACATGATTAATTATACCCATTAAGTATCAAATGATGGCGCTGTCGTAACATTTAACCCTTTTGGTAAGACCCTGCGAAGATTTTACTATTGATATAACGTTAATATTGTCAATGTAATTTCCACTGAAAATAAATATTATTATTTTGTAATCTCACAGAGGTTGCTGCAGAACCTAAAGGATCTCGCCGGACGCATGTCCTCTGGTTCAAAGGGTGCTGGGCTTGGTCTGAAGTTATTAATTGGAGCAGGTGCACTTGCTTATGGAGTCAAAGAGGCCACATATACAGGTAATTCAGTATTACAATAGTGTAAAGTATTACATAAAAAAGGTATTAGAAATAGAGCTCAGATGTCTAGAGCAAATTTATGCACTACTATTCTAAAGTTTATCAAGATTTTGTTTTTTAAAGAAATTACTTTAATTCAGCAAGGATGCATTAAATTGATCAAAAGTGACAGTATAGACATTTATAATGTTAGAAAGCTTTCTAATTCAAATAAACATTCATCAAAGAATCCTGAAAAAATGGTACAACTGTTTGCAACACTGATATTAAAAATAAATGTTAATAAATAATACATGTTTCTAATATGTAGCAAATCAGCATATCAGAATGATTTCTGAAGATCATGTGACACTGAAGACTGGAGTAATGATGCTGAAAATA